TCTTCCTTGAACTTGTACAAGTTATGACCCCAGGATTTGCTTCATTGAGTGTAGCTAGAAGGAATCTTAAAGATCATCTAACAAAGGTTTCCAAATATTTATCTATCTATCTATCTATCTATTTATTTATTTATTTAATTTTTAAGAAAGATTTTATCTCTTACAGAGAGAGAGAGAGAAAGAGAGAGCACGCACCGGTGGGGGGAGAGGCAGAGGGAGAGGAAGAAGCAGACTCCCCGCAGAGCAGGGAGCCCGATGGACATGGGGTTCCAACCCAGGACCCCGCGAGCATGACCTGAGCCAAACCACCCAAGTCCGCCAGGTTTCTGAGCATTCTAAGCAACAGAATCCTTTTCTCTAACATTGCTACTGTTAGCATCAAAATAGATAAGGCCTAGATATATAATATGTTAAATGGGTATTTTGTTTAAGATTTTATTTATTTAATCATGAGAGATACACAGAGAGGCAGAGACACAGGCAGAGGGAGAAGCAGGCGCCCTGCAGGGAGCCCAATGCTGGACTCGATCCCGGGACCCTGGGATCACGCCCTGAGACAAAAGCAGATGCTCAACCATTGAGCCACCCAGGTGTCCCTCAAACAGATATTTTATGAATCACTCAGTGAACCCAATGTGTAAAGGCTCCTTGGAACATCAGTTCACTGGAGCAATTACGATATTCTGAAGAACACAAGCATTTGACATTGGAATTTGTGAAAGATACAGTCTGATATCTAAATACAGCCCTGTCTTATTTTGTTTGGGTTGGAGCATAGGACCAACCAGCGTGAGTTAGGAAGGTGGACGGAGGTCTATTTGTACCATCTGATTGAACAGACTTGCATGGGCCTGAGTTTTATAAAGATGAAGGCAGAAGACACGTCCTAATCCCTGAAACGAAGACAAGAAATCGAAGTGTATGCCAGGAACTGTCTGAAGAAACTCCGTTTTAGGGTCTCCCTGGGAGAAAGTCACAGCCCGAGTTTTATCTCTTTGGAGTTAAAATGATGCACATCACATTGCACGTTGGTTTCCGTTCCAGTTGGAATAAGCTGGAGTCCAGTATCTGCACAGCTCACCAGGGACCTTCGAGAACCGCTGGTCCCTCCGGAAAGCTGCCACCCAGCAAGACTGAACCCAACTCCCATGGCCGGACGGCCAACAGGAGAAAAGAAGGTGGTTCTGACTGTTCATGACTTCGCCGCTTACTAGCTGTGTGGCCCTGGGTTACTCATCCTTGGTGAGTCTGTTTCTTCATCTGTGAAATGGGGATGACACTAGCTGCCACGCCGTGTCACTGTGAGGCTTGAGGGAGAAAAGTCACATCAGGGGCTTGACTTGGCTTAAATGCCCTCACCACCACGACCTTGGGTGTATTTTACAGTGATTTTTAAGATGTGTAAATCATGTTTCCTGAGGCCATATAGTGTGTCTCCGCGTCTCCATGAACCCAGAGGACAGTAGAACTGAAGGGACCTGGCGACGAGCTAGTCACAACAATGTGAATGTACTTAATATTATTATTATTTATTTTTATTTATGATAGTCACAGAGAGAGAGAGAGAGGCAGAGACACAGGCAGAGGGAGAAGCAGGCTCCATGCACCGAGAGCCCGACGTGGGACTCGATCCCGGGTCTCCAGGATCGCGCCCTGGGCCAAAGGCAGGCGCCAAACCGCTGCGCCACCCAGGGATCCCTGTACTTAACATTATTGACTGTACACTTAAAGATGGTCAAGTGTACTTCCGAACTGCTCGGTCAGGACCTTCTGTGTGTTAGCCAGGGCCCCTGGGTGGCTCAGTCGGGTAAGCGTCTGACTCTTGATTTCAGCTCAGGTCATGATCTCGGAGTCGCGTGATAGAGCTCCATGCGGGGCTCTGTGCTCAGCAGGGAGTCTGCTTCTCCCCCACTCTCTGCCCCTTCACCTCCACGCTCTCTCTAAAACAAATAAATGAATCTTTTAAAAAATGGTTAAGATGGCAAATTCTACGCTATGTATATTTTACCACAGTTAAAAATAATCTCACACTTGGGACGCCTGGGTGGCTCAGCAGTTGAGCATCTGCCTTCTGCTCAGGTTGTTATCCTGGAGACCGGGGATCGAGTCCCGCATCGGGCTCTCTGCAGGGAGCCTGCTTCTCCCTCTGCCTGTGTCTCTACCTCTCTCTGTGTCTCTCATGAATAAATAAATAACATCTTAAAAAATAATAATCTCACACTCACATATTTATCCCAATAACTGAATTGCTAGCCCTGGCTCCTCATGGAATCCAGTGAATTATAACTGATTAATTAATTTCTTACTTATTTATTTAGAAAGAGCATGAGGGGAGGGGCAGAAGGAGAGGGAGACAAGCTGACTCCCCACCGAGCAGGAAGCCAGACATGGGGCTTGATCTTAGGACCCCGAGATGATGACTTGAGATGAAATCAAGAGTGGAGGCTCAACTAGCTGAGCCACCCAGGCAGCCCAGAATCCAGTGAATTCTAAAGAGCTGATGGAGCCAAGGTGTGTGAGACCTTGATCTGGATGGCCGTGAAATTCCCACACACCCAAGCGAGGGGTTGGAAGCCCTGTGCGGTGGCTCCGCTCTGGGGCCCTCGGAGCACGGCCTGCCTGACCTCTGCCCTGAGGTCCAGTGGGCGCCCTGCATCCTGAGCCAGACCCAACCAGAGCAAGACGGACCGACTGCCCATTCCGGACATCTCTCCTGGCAAGCACAGGTCAGTGGGCTGGGGAGAAAACCAAGTTTTCCTTCATTGGTTTGGTTGGTTTCTTTTTTGGCATCGGGCTCTGTTTTGCTTTGTTGTGGCATATTTTTCTCCACAGCAGAAGCTGGAGCGGATGCGATAATGCTTGGCTCTCTGGCAGCCCACCCCCAACGGCCCCCGCCCCGACGCTTTTGTGTGCAAAGCAGTTTCAGGTGCACCCATGTCCTCTCGAAAGAGTTCAAATTCTGGGAAACCACATGCATTCTGTTCAGTCGATGTTCGACTCAGAAGGGGTCTTTGGTGCAGAAAATACAGGCACCCACATAGGCGTATAAAATGCACACCGGTCTGATTCTGGTAAAAGTAGTAGTAATAATAATAGTAAAAATAGTAACACTGACTTCCAAATGGAGTTTGTGGGATGAGGTCCAGCTGTCTTTCTTCCTACTCAGAACCCGTGGCCCCAATTCCCTGGCTGGCTCAGATGTTCGTTTTCCTATTTCTCTTGCCTAGAGCATGTTTGCTCTCAGGTTCCCTCTTTACCTCTTTGGGACAGTGACCTGCTGGTGGCTGTAGGCCACCCTCCCTTCTCTGTGGCTCCCGGGCTTTGGCTTCATGACATTTATGTCACCCTTCTCTCTTGGCCGCTTTTGCTTTCACGATCGTGTGCCAGACATTTGCACTGCCCCTGGTTAGAAAGCAGGCTGTGCTGTACCTCTCAGCCACCCCTGCAAGCCCAGCCCAAACCCCTGGGACAACAGAGAGGGATCTCAACAAGGCCCACCGCGGCCACCACCCAGATGCCTCCACGCTCATGCACCTTCCTTTTAAATTGTTCTCAGCAGGGGACACCTGGGTGGCTCAGCATTTGAGCACCTGCTTTTGGCCCAGGGTGTGATCCTGGAGTTCCGGGGATTGAGTCCCATATCGGGCTCCCTGCAGGGAGCCTGCTTCTCCCTCTGCCTGTGTCTCTGCCTCTCTCTGTGTGTCTCTCATGAATAAATGAATAAAATCTTAAAAAAAAAATAAAAAATTGTTCTCAGCAGAATGAATGAGTCTCTTTGCTCTCACATTACAGACAGGAACAGCAAGGGGTTAGTAAACCTACTGATGAGTATACAGTTACTCCAGAACAGGGGTCAGTAGACTTTTTCCATAAAGGGCCAGATAGGGCGAGCTGGACGGTCTGTCACAGTTTATACTGGATTCTTCCCTACTGCAAGAGTAAATTACTGATTAAAGATTTTATTTATTTATTCATAAGACATACACACACAGAGAGAAGCAGAGACAAAGGCAGAGGGAGAAGCAGGTTGAGTGCCCTTACCATTTTAGTGACTTTTTTTTTTTTAAGATTTTATTTATTTATTCATGATAGAGGGGGGGGGAGGCAGAGACACAGGCAGAGGGAGAAGCAGGCTTTATGCCGGGAGCCAGATGTGGGACTCGATCCCATCCTGGCTCTCCAGGGTCACGCCCTGGGCTAAAGGCAGGTGCCAAACCGCTGAGCCACCCAGAGATCCCCTTTAGTGAGTTTTTTTCTTTGACAGTTCCGATAAAACTTCATTTACGGACATTGAAACTGAAATATTTTTCAGACATCATAAAATATTCTTCTTCTTTCGATTTTTAAAAACCATCTAAAATTGTAAAAACCATTCTTAGCTTGTGGGCTGTGTAACAACAGGCGGTGGGGTCAGGCCTGGCCCACGGTAGTTTGCAAGCCCTGCTGTCGAAGAAGGAGGGCTAGACGGGACTTCCGGGGTATGTTCAGGGCAAGGGACACGTGGATCCTCTCTGCCACCCGCGTCTGGGTGAATACGATGGGGTTTTGGAAGGTGGAAAGTGTAACTTATGACACTCCGTGGGACCCTAAGTGTCTAACTGCTAAGCCCTGCTTCCTGATGCTCCTTGCATCAAAAATCCAGCGTCTGAAATCAGACACGTGTGGTTGTGCTGCTTGAGTGCTGTGTTAGCACTTGGATGCCAGCACGCTGGGGCTCTGGAAATAACCCCTCCTTATTTTTAACACCCTTGCCTAGTCAGATGGTCTCTGGTTTCTCCCAAAGAAACTCCCAGGGCCCAGCGATCCGGGCTGGAATTCAGAACCCCTAAGTCTTATCGGTAAACAGGATCCCATTACCCCGTCATCCCCACACCTCCCTACAAAAGTCCTGGACACAGGCCAGGGGGACATGGTTTTCTTTTTCCTTCGGGGTAGTGGGGCCGCCGGGCTGACCGATGTCAGGAATCCAAGCAATTTCTATGCAAGGTGCAAGGAAAAAGTAAGCTTTCAAAGAGCTTTTATTTCAAACACAGGTTGTACCCAGTTAAAAAATGCTCCTCAGGTGTCTTGGAAACCAAGGAAAGGGTGTATCTTGTCCCAGAGAAGGAGGGAGGGGTTGGCTATTTACACAGGCAACACCCAGAACTGGTAAAGGAGCACAGGGTGTCCCTAGAGGGCTAACAGAGGACAACTGGACCCAGCTTATCAGAGACAAGTGGCTCAGTGAGGGCGGCCTGGAGCTCCAGGGGAAGGTCGGTCCTCGCCAAACACCTGCGCACCTGCTGGCCCCACTGCGCCCGCCCGGCGTCAGGTGTGCATCACGTCCACTTGCTGGATTGCCAGGGAGGCCTGTCACAGCCCAGAGCAGGGCTCAGAGAGGGGAGCAGCCGCGGCTGTGGTGGGCTGGTGGGCGCGGGGGAGGGGCAGGCCCCGCCTCCTCTCTAGAACGTTCTGGGCCAGGCCCGGCTTCCTGAGGGCAAAGCCCCGGGGGCGGCTGGGGCTCCGGGAGGGCTAGTGCTCGGGCTCGGCGTCCATGCAGGACTCCCAGGGGTTCTGGGGCATTCGAGGCAGGGAGAAGAGCAGGAGGGCGAGGCCGCCGAGGAAGAGGAGGACGAAGGCGGCGCAGGCGCAGGCGAAGGACCAGGAGTAGTAGTAGTCGATCCAGGCCGTGTGCTCGCTGTCGATCATGCGCTTCACCGACTGCCGCGTGACCTCCACCGACACGAAGATGCACAGGCCTGCGGGCCACGCCCCTCAGGGAGCTGCGGGGGGGGGGGGGGGGTCCCTGCCCGCCCCGCCTCTGCGGCCCCCGCGCCCTGCACCCCGCGCCCCTGCCCGCCCCGCCTCTGCACACCCCGCGCCCCCGCGACCCTTCGCGCCCCGCACCCCGCGCCCCTGCTCGCCCCTTCCCGCCCTGCGCCCCTTCCCGCCCCGCCTCTGCACACCCCGCGCCCCTTCGCGCCCCGCACCCCTGCTCGCCCCTTCCCGCCCCGCGCTCCGCACCCCCCGCCCCTGCCCGCCCCGCGCCCCGCACCCCCCGCCCCTGCCCGCCCCCCGGCCCCGCCCCGTGCCCCTGCCCACCCCGCCTCTGCACACCCCGCGCCCCCGCGCCCCGCGCCCCCGCGCCCCGCGCCCCTTCCCGCCCCGCGCCCCTGCCCACCCCGCGCCAGGTGCACAGCCCCCTCCAGCCCCCCCCCCACCTGCGAACGCGTAGAACATGGACGCGGGCCGCAGCAGGTAGTCCCGCTTCCTCCCGCAGGACAGCAGCGCGCACGTGGTCCCCATGATGATGAAGCCGAGGCTGAAGACGGCGATGGCGGCGGCCGAGATGCTGTACTCTGCGGGACGGGCAGGCGCGGCGGCGGCTCAGCCTGTGCCCCGGCCCCTGGGGAGCACGCCGAGGGGCCGCGACGAACCCCGCACTCGGAGCCACGCAGCGGGGAAGGGGGACCGCGATGGCACCCGGACCCCCTTCCCACTCCCCGGGGGGTGGGGGGTCCTAAGCTGCGGGCTCCTTCCCCGGGCGGGGCCGCAGACCTTTCTGGAGCTGAAAGCTTCCTGCGAGCCACGGGGCAGAGGGCGGGCTCGGGGTGAGGGTGGTCTGTCCTGGGTGCTCAAGCAGCCGCGGCAAGGGTGGCTTGTTGCAGGGCTGAGTGTGCATGCACCGAAGATTGCCAGGGAGAGTGTGCTCGTGTGCACTGGCATGTGACCGCTGCAAGGCGGCTTGTTGCAGGGCCTCGTGGGTGATCGTGTGTGTGCATGCACCACTGTGCAGAGATTGCTGGAGAGAGTGTGCTCGTGTGCACTGGCATGTGACCCCTGCAAGCGTGGCTTGTTGCAGGGCCTCGTGGGTGATCGTGTGTGTGCATGCACCACTGTGCAGAGATTGCTGGAGAGAGTGTGCTCGTGTGCACTGGCATGTAACCGCTGCAAGGTGGCTTGTTGAAGGGCCTCGTGGGTGATCGTGTGTGTGCATGCACCACTGTGTAGAGATTGCCGGAGAGAGTGTGCTCGTGTGCACTGGCATGTGACCGCTGCAAGGTGGCTTGTTGCAGGGCCTCGTGGGTGATCGTGTGTGTGCATGCACCACTGTGTAGAGATTGCCGGAGAGAGTGTGCTCGTGTGTGCACTGGCATGGGAGACTAGTCCTGCAGTTGGGGGCCCTGCCGGGAAAGGCCTCCCCACAAGCTCCCTCAAGCCCTCGGGATGGCTGGCCACCCAGGGCTGTGGTCTCGGGGCGCTGAGCTGCTTTTCATCGCAATGGTTTGTGCCAAACGATTCTCTGGCTCAGCAGCCTTCACAGAAGTCACTCTTCCTGACCCTCCCTGCTTCCCCCACCAGCTCACCTTTCTGAGTAGTGACTTCGAAGATCTCCGAGGTCTCGCCAGGGTTAAAATGCCTGAAGTAGGAACAGTTTTTCTCTGTAAAGGGGGGAGACAGCCTATGAGTTGAGCCAAAGGGCCTGCAGCCCCAGCGGAAGCTCCACCCAAAGACGTTGGGTGTGATCCCACTGGACCTGCCCTCATTCTCCTAAACCCTGAATCTGGGCTGAAATAAACCTCTTTCTCTGACCCTTAGACCAACATTTCAGTAGGAGAAGGGGGTTTCATAAGAGGCCAGGAGATCTCCAGAAGGCAAAGGCCGACTCAGTGGAGAGGGCACATAGTGCTCTGGGTTCTGAGCCCATTAGGTAGATGGGATAACTGAGGCTCAGCAATTCGTTTGTCACGGGGTGACAAATGGAGGGAACACCATTAACAAAGGGCCAAATGGTGCTTCTCACCGTTTGGAGCTTATTCTGCCCTCCCAGGAGATGGTGGGCAGTATCTGGAGACAGTTTTGGTGTCACTACTAGCACATAGTGGACAGAGGCCAGGAATACTGCTAACATCCTACAACGACAGGCCAGCCCTGTACAACATAGAATTAACTGGCCCCACTGTGTCAGTAGGGCTGAGGTTGAGAAAGCCTGGTCACACCAAAATCTAGGCCTGTCCTGATGCACTGGGTGTGACCCCGAAGCCTGTGATGTTTTTCAAAGGCTTTCCAGAAGATTCTGATGCTCACTCAGTTTGGGAAGCCCTGCTCCAGGTCTCTTAAATGCCCCCACAAGGAGCTTTTCTGAGTGGGCCAAATGGATACTTTAGGGTGCAGGGGGGAGTGTTTCCATTCAAGAGCCAATTGTGACCATGTGTCATTTTATCAGACCTTTGACCCCTGTGGCCATAGAGACGGCCCAGACAGAACCTTTCCTGGTGAGCCAATTGTTCTATCTGATTAGTGTCAGAGAAGCCGTAGAAGATCTGTGAGTGACAGGACCAAAAATCTGGATTTTATGGGGGGTGGGGGCGGGGGGGGGCAGAGGAAGGACTCAGAACAAAGAAATTTATGCGGGTTTTAAACACAATTTCAGGCATAATTTTTCTTCCATTTTTCTCCTTAAAATTTCTCTGGTCACTTGACATACTTCAAAATCAAAGGATATCCTTAACCCCCCCCCTGCCCAAAAAAAACAAAGGATATCCTTACTGCTTAATGAATACAGTTGGATATTCTTTACTCCATTTTTAGGAAGTAGGTGAATGGTTTTTTAAAAATCATGTTATTCAAAAAAATAAAAATAAAAAATAAATAAAAATCATGCTATTTTACATTTCTTTAAAAAAAATTAAATTAGGCTGCTTTTTATTTGTGCAAGGCCCTCCATCGATTCCTTTTTCCCCTGGGCGGGCCCACGACCCTCCACTCCTAGTTCAGATGGCGTCTAGTTTGCGCATTCATTTCTTCACTTTCAGGCTCTATTGAGATCATCACGATTATTGGTGCCTGGTTTCTTTAGGAAATGCACCTGAGGCGGTGCCAGAGTCATAGCTTTCGTGGGGTTGCAGGCCTTCTTCCCTCTGACCTAAATCATCTTATTGCTCCTTAAGCCTATGGCCTCCCCCCCAACCCCGTCCCCCTCCCCCAAGGTCAGGGTTGCTGGGTTGCTGCTGCTCCCCGAGGTGGAGGAAGGAAGTGACCCCTGGAGCCGAGCCTGGTTTAGCCACAGTAAGTGTTCTGGGAGGTAAACAGCTTTCTCTTTGAGCTTCTATATTTAAATCACTTTCCTTTTGAGCAGAGTTACCTGGGGTGTCTGACTGCGGGGTGATGTCAGAATTAATGCTGCTCTTTTTTTTTTTTTTCCCTCACAGCTTCCGGCGCTATTTTAAAGCCTAATGCAACCCTCTTCAGTTGGTTAGATTATTGGCTCTAGATAATTATTTATTTATTTATTTATTTATTTATTTATTTATTATTTATTTATTTTTAGCTCCAGATTCTCTTGAATCACTGCTTCCGAGTGGCTGGTGCTGGGCCACAAGTCTCCGTGTGTGTCTCCCTCTGGACAAAGGAGCATTTCTGTTTCATTCTTTAAGGGCCAGTTTCGGTTGTCATTGAAAACCCTCTGAAGAGAACTGACTGGATTCGAGCGTATTTCAGGGTCAGCTGCCTCCCTGACCACGCAGTGCGCGAGGTAAAGGCCTTGGAGCCGAGGGCGGCCAGATAGAGGCCCACCAGAGCCCGGCCGCAGCGCAGCGCTTTGGCAGCTCGGGCTGCTGAGCGTCTCTTGTGGCCTTGGGTTGTGGTGTCAGCCCCCCCCCAGATGGACGGCACAGCGCGCTCCACCCGGACACACCGCCGCCTGCGTAAGCCCGTGCTCAGGCCCTAGCGGGAGGCTGCGTGTCTGGGGAAGCCGGCCTGGGGGTTTTCCGGGGGGAGATTTTCCCCTTCAGCAGCCCCGGCACACTGCCTCTACCTCCTGTCCTCCCCTATTGAATGATGTCACATGTGGAGGATGGGGGGGTCCCCAGTAGGGTGGGGGTGGCTCCCACACAGCACATCTGGAAGTCTCAGCTTCTCCCTGACATAGCTGAACCTTGGGCTTGAGAATGGATGGGCCAACCCCGTCCCCCCCGCCCTCTCTTTTTATTTTTATTTTTTAAGATTTTATTTACTTGGGGATCCCTGGGTGGCTCAGCAGTTTAGCGCCTGCCTTCAGCCCAGGGCGCGATCCTGGAGACCCGGGATCGAGTCCTGCATTGGGCTCCTGGCGTGGAGCCTGCTTCTCCCTCTGCCTGTGTCTCTGCCTCTCTCTCTCTCCTCTCTCTCTGTCTCTCTCTCTCTCTCTCTCTCTCATAAATAAATAAATAAATAAATAAATAAATAAATACATCTTAAAAAAAAGATTTTATTTACTTATTCATGAGAGACAGGGAGAGAGAGAGGCAAGACACAGGCAGAGGGAGATCCCATAGGGGACTGGATCCCAAGACCCTGGGATCACACTCTGAGCCAAAGGCAGACGCTCAACTACTGAGCCACCCAGGTGCCCCCTCTCCCCTCTCTTGAACTTAGCACGTGAGGAAGGCCGGAGTCTTCTGCCCTGAGCCCCAAGAGTAACATCTGCTCCAGGGCCCCATGACCCCCTCTGGAAGACGATAAGCCCCTTTGTGGTCCCTGATGACCCCAGCAGGAATGGGGGCATGTCAGACCCAGCCGTCATTCCGGACACATCCGGCACCAACAAGACACTCCTTCAGGAAGAATCAAGCTGGGCATCTGCCCGTGTCACTCAAGAGTTGCCCAGGGTCCTGCTCAGGTGGGCAGACCCTGCTTCTGCTTCTTTGTCTGAGGGATTCTGGGTAAACAGAGCATCCAGAGCAACTTAAAAAGGAAGGACATCCGAGTTGGGCTCTGTGTGGGCCACTTAGTCACCGGTGAGGGGCTCGGAGGAGAGAGGCAGTGACAGCTCTGTGACAGCTGTGCAGATTCCGAGTCTTCCTGCCTCTGCCTTTCTGAAGTCCTTCCGTTGCCTCTTCCCTGGCTTCCATCACAACTGCACAAAGCTTAGGGCTTATTATGGCTTAGCCTTGATGGATTATAGCCCCTTCACTGGGCAGAAGCAGCAGGACGTTGATCCTACTCCTGCAAAGTTCATGGGGGGCTGGCATTATACACACCAAAACCACCCAGATTGATAGCTTACTGTGTTTCGAGCCAAATCTGTGCTTTAAATCAAGTCAGTGGAGATACCAATGTCAGGGTGATGACCTGGGACCAATTATTAGGAAGTCTGAAGTTCCTCCAGCCTCCTTTGTCTCTGTGAATGGCTCACGGTGACTCGAATATTTGTATCTCTATTTTTCTATATTTCAGAAATGTCTGTCATGAACAGTCCTAAGACTCAGTGGGTTGTTCCTTAAAAATATAGTGAACTTGGGGGTGCCCGGGTGGATCGTGTCGGTTGAGCATGCAACTCTTGGTTTCAGCTCAGGTCATGATCTTGGGGTTGTGTGATTGAGCCCCGCATCAGGCTCTACACTCAGCAAGGAGTCTGCTTAAAACTCTCTCTCCCTCTCCCTCTGCCCCTCCACTCTGCTCTCTCTCTTTCTCATAAATAAAAATAAAACTTTAAAAATAATATGGTGAACTCAGCTATTGAGCTGGCCTGGGGTAGGGTATCATGGCTAACCAAGTATTCCGATTCAGGGAATGCCTGCACAGAACTATATCTAAGGAAGTTGGTCCGAGGGTTGTGGGTTATTGTTAAGCTGTTTAACTAATCTAACGGTGCCAATTTCAAAGAATTATAACAGGAGGTACATTTAACTACAACCTAAACTTGAGTTAATGCAGGTTTTCTCTGATAGTTGGGATAATTTATATGATTAGGGGATGCTTCTGGGTTATCACTGAGAACATATCAGTGTACCCAGTGCTGGGGGATGCAGACTTTAATATATTAAAAAAATACCTTGTTGATTTACACAAAACCAAGGGAACTAACGACTTAGGGGTCAGAAAAAATATTTCACTTACTTGTTACTTGCATCAATGCAAGGGCTGTCTTCACTCTTTTTGTAAAAGAAGTTCTTGATGCCTGACAGTGATTTCTCTGTGCTCTGTCTCCCCCCACCGCTCTGATTGAGGACTTCTATCAAATGGGTTGCAAAAGTCCCCAGGACCCAATCCCAGAGGGTCAGATCATTGCTGTTATTTGGGGGGAAAGTCTGAGCTGGGTCTCTAGCATGGGTTCTTGTGGATGGGAAAGGGAGCCCCTGAAATTCTTGGGGTCCATAACACGATGTTCTTCCATATGGCTCCAGTTCCTGCACTGGGAGAGAGGATGGGCCATAAGGGAAATGGGGTACTGGGGCAGTCTGCTGCCTTAGCCTGGAGAGACAGCGCCTGAGAAAAACAACATTCCACCCAACCCACGGGCAGGGAATGATGAATCATCCCTCTGGGGTGATTCACTTGGGCTTTCAGACAGACAGCGTCTCCTGACAGTGGGGGAAGACCCTCCTCTCATTCTGAAGGCATTGGAATTGACCTTAGATGTTAATCTTTGCATGACAGTCCTTCTAAAACCCTTTGGGTC